ATGCCAGTTTTAAATCAAAATATTCTCTTGGCATTGTGAAAGAGCTTTTTTCTCTACTGTCCTCCTTTGTAGGTTAAGTCAATTAAACCATTTCTTCCAACAAAAACTTCCTTTTGTTATTAATATTGAATGCATACTTTGGTCAAACTTAGTTGAATATAATAGTTCAAAATAGAAATCCCAATTAAAAGAAAAGTTATGGCCAAGCTGAAAGAAGGAGGTAACCTGCACAGAACGCAGAAAATTACTGTCACCAAATGTGTAAGAGGAACATAAGCATGTGTTACTTAATGAAAAGTATGCTTGTCACTGTACCTGAACCAAATAATTGACATTATTTACCTGTTTGTTTTGCATTTAATTAACAGCTGGTTAATTAATAGGTGATAGGAATAAAATAGTCAACATGTACACATGCACACAACAGGATAATACTGTTGAATTTAAGAGAAAAAATATAATAAATATAATAAATAAAAATCAGTACCATTGGAAATATAAACATATTCTTATCACTGAAGTGTGCAAATATGCATACAAAAAATAAGGCAACTTTGTGATCATATTTTATAGAGTGAGCTATCCCAATTTTTGGTATAGATAAATGCCATCATTTCATTATTTACCTCATAACATTTTTGTAGCTCTTTAAAAATTGTCTACAGTCTCCAGTTCACTTGGGTAAAATGCTATGACTATTACATTTAAAATAATTTCCCACAGTTTTTCTTTAAGGAACTATTCTTGCTTTCAGAATTCAAACAACTGTTTGAAATCCTGAAATACCTCTGTGCTTTTCAAAAATCAGACTTCATAAAGGGCATTTATTCTATAGAATTAAAGTTTACTGAGTAACAAATCTAATGTTAAGTGGTACAGGCTCTCCAAAGCCTTAAATGTCAAAGTCAACGCTAACAGCTCATCATAATTTTTCCTCCTTTGGAAAAGGAGAAGAAAATGAAAATGATAACGGCAATCTCACCTTTGAATTTCTTCATTTTTATATATTTGCCATAAACAACAATTTAAATGTCCTCAAATATTAACATTTTCTGTTTCTATGTGAAAGTATGAAAAAAATTAATACATTCATGCATGATATGAAGCAACAGAGACCAGAGTGTCTTATTTGTAGCAAATTTTATTTTCAAATAACCATAAAAGGTATCCAGGTACTCTTCAGAGTAATTTATGAGATCATGCACGATGTAAACAGAAAAAGTCCAAAGGAAAGAAACATTCCTGATGCTTCTAACAAGTGACCTGAAGGGACACAGAAACAGACACCAGAACTTTCTTACCACAGCTGATGCCTGGATCTTTATCCTTGCCTGTTTTTGTCATTTCAGCACAAGATAAAATGTAACGCAGAGAAGCAAAAATCAACAATCTAAGAGAAGAGAAACTTGCCAATGGGATACATGTTTGGAGTGGTTACTTTTTTTTATTACGGTTCACAGAGAAATGTAGCAAGCAGGAGATAGTGTCTCATAGAAACACTTATTTTGAAACATAGTTAACAAGGAAATGAATCCTGGCAATCATATTACTGCTTACATCCTATTCAGGGACTTCCTTGAACATCATGCACAGTTCTAAACTTTTTCTTTTTGCTGTGAAATCCAGGAAAACACAATGGGAATGTTCCCAGAAGGCAGTAAAAAAAAATATTTGAATTTGGGATTTTATTTTGAAAATAAGGGAAACCATATTAATTTGAAAAATATTACAAAGACAAAATAGGTATGACCAAAAGAGACACAAATCAGTAGCAAAATCTAAAGAGACTAAGGTCCAATTTTTTGACATTGTAAAGCAAAGAGTTGTACACCAGAGGTTTATAGTTTTGTTAGGATTTTTCATTTCAGTCTTCAGAATTGACTTCTCATTACTAGAAGTAGAAAATAGATTCACCCACAGGCCAATACAGACCTTCTCGATATGAAAGTTTCAAAGAAGATGCAACATTATTTATTTAGTCTAGACTAAGCCCCAGTGTTCTTATTGTCCCCTGACGGCTAGTGACCATAAAGTATAAAAGGTGTTGAATCTCCTTCACAGTTCATAATCTTCCTATTAGTGAAGCTACTGTGAAAGGAACACAGTGAAAAATGAAATAACAAAACTCTATTCAAAACTTCATATTTTTATAACAGCATTATCTCTTGAATTTCCTTATAAGCCTAAAATGATAGAATGCCATGTTTTTGTCCCAGCACTTCCCATTTCTGATGCCTCAAACCACAGTGTTCTCTGCAGGCATACTGCAATAGAAAATGATGCTGCCTTATATGTGGCTAATAAAAGAGGCTTTCACTCTGAAAACCATACAGTAAATTCAACTGGGATTCTGCTAAGTAAAGCTACTGGCATTTTAGGTAATGAAAATCACCAAGCTTTAAGAGCTGTGTGCTTTGGTTTCTGTGTTATGAAATTTTACTCTATCTGAAGTATCAAAAGCCTATCTACTATGTAAGTCAATATTACAATGGTATTCAACCAAAGTTCACAGATATTGTCGGTAAGAGTTCGTGTTCCTAGGATCAATTTGCCAGAAATTAGATTCATCTAGGTATTTGGGGAGGTAGAAGCTATAAAATTTGGTGCCCTGCACCCGTCTGAAAATGTCCTGTCTTCTAATCTACGCCCAACAATAAATGTGCAGTTGCCCAGACAGAAGACTGCCATACATCATAGGAAAGTGTGTTAGACCTTCCAAGCCTGCATCACGTGATTGTTTTCACTTCCCACTCACATAATTAGTGTTCTTTTCCTCTTCTAAAAAAGAAAATGCCTGTTTCAAATTTGTATTATTTTTTTCAGATGTCTAATTTCAGCTACGTTCTTTCTCTCTTTGGTCTCTTCCCGCATTTCACATACCAGACAAATAGTTAAAAGTCTGCAAAACCAGGCGAACTTCCAAAATATTTCAAAATGAAACTGCCCTAGGTGACAGAACAAGGAAAGAAGGCAGAGCCTGCAGGACCAAGATTTCAGCACACTGGCTGAAAATGTGTTGGAAAATCCATTCAGATTGCCAGCAGCACTATGAATGAGATTTTGATGAGGCATAAACATCCAAGCAACTGACAAAACCAACACGTTCCATGATCACTCAAAGCAGTTCACTTGTCGCGGTGCATTCTGGGTGCACTGTTAGTTAAGTTGATACCTGTCCTTTAATCATTGTTTTTCCTGGTTTAGCATTCAGGAAATGAAAGTGTTTGAGAAAACATCCAAAGTTCTGAGAATAAATATAAGTGAGATTTTGTTGTATGTCTATCATTTGTAAAACTTACATCTTTTACATAGGGTTTATTTGTACATAATAAAAAAATCTCATAAGGAAATTTTTTTCTGGAAAGTATTCTATATGCTAATTTGTTTAACATGTGCTTTGGATATAGAGCTAAGTAAGAGTAGCTTTACGAAATTCTTTCTTCAAGTATTCCCTTTAACGATGAAAAGAAAGCTCATTCCTAAATATTTGTTCTTCTTTCCCATTGATCCTTTGTTTCTGATAACTTGTGCAACCTGAACTACACAAAGAACAAAATGTCAGAGTTCAGAATATATTCATATACTTCAATAAATTTGCTCATTGCATAGTGAACATGTAAACTCACAGAGAATCTATAAATGTCACCCTATAATCTAAAAAAGGTTGCTAAAATTTTACATAATAATTTATTCTGATGTTTAATTTGGGCTTGCTATTTTATTTTCATCCATGTGTTAACTAAATACAATAAATGAAAACAAGCCATAAAAGTTAAAATCAAAGAAAATAATTTCACCTAATTCTCTAGTCTATATTTCCCCCCTTGGGCATAACAGGCTGCAAGTGTACTGTCCTGACTCTTTAAGACAGTGTTCAAAATTAATTTCAACAATGTGTGCTTAACATAAAGTTAACTATGTTTGCATCAAATAAAATGTTTATTAATGAAAGCTATTTATCATACAGGAAACAGCAAAGTCAGCATTACAGAGATGTACACTAGAGGTGATAGATGCAAAAGTGCATGCAGAGCCGTCTGTTTAGAAAGGAAGGACAGACAATAATACTAAAATCACTGGGTTTGATCCCTATGCTCTCGTGAATGAGTAAAAGTTACTCTTTGAATTTACAATTGGAAAATAACATTAAGAGATAGGACTGATACATCTTAGCAAGCAGATGAGATGGATGTTTTTGGACTTTATTTTACAGTTATATTGTGCTTGACAGATGTGTGGAATTGTTTCAATAATAATTTTCTCCAAATGTGGGGCGGGCGTATTACTGCCAGGTTGCTCTGGTTGGTTTTCTACGTGGTTTATCTTGCTCTTTTATTAAACCACATGAGGTTAAGCCTTGATTCGTGTTAGACATCATAAAGAACAGAAGTTTTGTTAACATTCAGTAAATGACACTTAAGTCACTCTCTCTCTCTCTCTCTCTCTCAATCTCTCTCTCTCTCTCTTTTGGTTCAATAAACTTTTAAATGTATGATTATCATAACCTAATAGTGTCTTTGTCTTCACTGCAGTGGATTTCCGATCAAACTTTTCCCCTTCTTTTAATACTTTAGGGAATTTTCAAACGTCGGGATGTTTGGCTGTAATGCCCCAAGATTTGTTCTCCCTGAAAAAAAATCATAGTGACAATTTATTAACTACAGAGCAACTTGGCTTTTAGGGGTCTGCAATTTCTATTTAGATTTACAAATATCCACTTGTGCTCAATAGACCTGATGTTAAATCTTAATCATCTCTAAGGTTTCTTTTCATGCACCTATGGGTCTGCTCATTTATTTTTATTCTAAAAATTGAATTGAGTCAAATCAGTGGGGCATTACTTTTATTATAAACAAAGATATTTAAGGGTAATTCAAGATTGAATCACATCTTATATACAATGGTGTGTGTATTTAACAAGTCACAAGTTTGAAAACCTAAGGACTATTTGTCTGTTTGAATTTTTTAATTGTGCTGCTATGTCTTATCTTTTACACATAGATATTGGAAGCATACTAATACAAGTAAAACTGATGGGAAATAAAACTCCTTAGATTCAAAATGGTTTATTCACACAAATTTAATAGGATATATCACAATTGTTTGGTCCATAAATATTTAGGGGGAATAGTTTCTATACAATGCATTTATCAATAAACAAAGGAACATGGACAATTTTGCTAGACCACTTACTGTACTATAAACACGAAGCTCAATATATAAGATTATTGAATTTATCAACTATATTTGAAAGAGTGCACGACTGCTTTCTATGACATGTTTGTCTCCTCTAACAGGATACACCATAAAAAGAGTTTCAGAAATAAGAGGTAAAACAGTACAAAACTAGCGAGGTGTCCAAGGGCTTCAAACAGTTAAGTTAACAAACAACACATATATCCTGATTTTCCACAAACTTATTTCCAAGTTATATCATAAGGCACATAGGAGAACTGAGTTATAATTAGTCTACTTAATAAAGTAGGTCTGTAGTACCATATATTGTTCTGTCAAAGAACAAAATTTCTAAGTATCGGTATTTTTACCTGTAAAAGTGTGTTAATAAAGATCTCAGCCTTAACAAGGTTGTTTGGTCTGGTTAGTGGTAAATGCCCAAAATGTAAGAGAAATATGAAAAGTCAAGATTTAAGCTCCATAGAAGATGACCACACTTGCTAAATATATAATGGCGATCACACTCTTCTTCTGTTACAGTGTTAGCTTCTCTTCCATCATCTTTTTTTTTTTTAAAAAATAAGCTACTTTCTGTGCTAATTTTCTAAAGACCCTGAGCAAAAGTTACAATAATGCACTTTAATGTGGGCAGTGAACTGTCGATATGTAACCACACATTTATACAGCCAGAAGGGCACCTTTAAAATCTATTAAATAGCCACTTCGACCACCAGAGGAGATTTAAGGGGTGCAAAAAAGTGGACAGTATGTGCAAAGTCATTCTTAACAATCCACTAAAGCAAGACATAGATCTTGACTTCTTCTTTATTATTTTAGGAAATCCACAATCTAGTTGGTTTTTTTCTTAACTACAACAGAAGCAGATAGATGAACATTCACCACTGCCCAGACCATTAAGATTTCACCTTAAATTAAAAGAAAAAAAAAATGCTGCTGTAAACTAGAAATATATTCAGATCAGCATCCACAAGGCTTCTGAGTTTATCTACTTTAAGACTCATAACTTCACATCTGTGATATTAAGAAGATTTTTATACATGAATTAACCCGTGACAAAATAAAATAAAGAAAAACCAAATAATTCTCATTGTTGGTATTAGTTTACTAAGTTGCTTTAAAAAAAAAAAAGACATTATGTAGAATGCCAGATACAATATCATGGTACAGCTGAAGCCAATTAATTATTAATTAAATTATGCCAATTTTTTACTTCTTAAAAAATTGTATTTTGCTTATTTCCATTTCTCTAAGGAGAAAGGGTTAAGTAAATAGAATAGTTTCAGAGACTGGCTAAGAAAAAGTTTTCTTTTCTCTCTTTTTTTCTTAATGTGGGAGGTTAAAAGTACAGAATTTCAAATTTTAAGTGTAATTTCCATGGATACACAAGAAGTTTAAGTTTTTTTTTTAAATTTTGAAAGACAGTAAAAAGTGGGGGGGGGGGGGGGGGAGAGTATACAGTCCTAACAACAGGAAAAGTTACATTCCTGAGTTAGACTTCCCACCCAGTTAACCATTGCTATTTAAAATTGATGTTAATACTTTTGTTTAATTATATCCCTCACTTGAATTAATAGTTCAGGTTAAAAATGGCAGTAATAATACATTTGTTTTTGAATTTTTTTCACATGAAAAAATTTTAATTGTAAGATTTTAAAAAACAACTAATTGCCTGGTTCCTGAATAACTTCATCACAGAAACAGGACTATGATTTGCCCATCATAATACCATCCATTTTTTTCCCCTTCGAGATTCTGGAAATAAGTAATATACAATTTTAAGAGGCACTTAATAGAATGATTCAAAATCTCCCCTTACCAACTTAAAAAAAAAACCTGATTAAAGAAAAAAGATCAAATACACCTTGTAGACAAAATACGTTCACTTAAAAGCGACAATACTGTAAACTCATAGCCAAGTGGTGTAGATGCTACACACCAAGCTGCTACTTTATTCCCCAAATATCTTGTGGGTTAGGAGAAGGAAGAAAAAAAAAGTCTCGTAAATAATAAAAATAATAATATTAGAATAATAATAAAAAGAGGAAGAATCCTTAAAAAAAAAAAACCAATGTTAGAAAAGGTTCGTTAAGGTAGTTTGTGAGGGGCTTCCGGATTCGTGGCTGTCCATGTTAGAGGTCACAGAGGTCACTACAGTGACAGTGGGATTGGTCAGGTCTGTTAAAGTGGTCGTAGTGCCCGGTGGAGTAAGAGCGCCGCTGTCTGCTGAGGGCGGGGCCGGAAGCGACGTGCCGTCAGCTTTATCAACACCCCCATTCTCCTGCCGCAAAAGGTTCCTTCTGAATTTGGCTCGTGCGTTTTGGAACCAAACCTGCAAACCAATCCCAATTGATTTCTTTATCGATTTTTTTTTTAAGTTCTTTCCTCTCTCTTCCTTTTTTCTCTCTCTCTTTTTTCCCTTTTCTTTCCTCTATTTCTCCTATTAAATATCATTTTTCTTGGATAGTAGACTTTTTCTACTTCTTTCAAAATAAACTAATTCAGGTAATAGAATAGAATTATTCCCTCTTAACCGTACATATTCCTGCATTAAATGTGCCACTTGGGATAACTGGAGCAGAGAAACCATGGAAACAAAGACATGGAGACTAGGGGGGGGGAATACACCACCCCTCAAAAGAATAGGGAAAAACGGGGTCACTAAAGGTGTCTCAAAGGAGGAACTACTCACATGAGGGAACACCACCAGAGCTTAAGTTGTTTGCTAGTCTGATATCTAACAAAAGCTCTACAGACAGTAATACTCTTCCCAGCCTGAGAACAGAAAATGTCTGCTAAGGGTCACTGAGGCGGAGATCACAGGTCACTCACGGCAACCTTGTATCATTTTATAATTCTTACTATAAGTCTGGGGAAGCAATTCAATGCCCAGAATAACTCTGGATTGGTAAAGTGGGGAAATTATTGCTCCAACTGCTTGCTGTGATATTAACCTTACCTTCGACTGTTCAAGAGCTGGGGGGGGGGGCACCTGAATTTTGAAGGTGGTAACATTGAGTGAGCTGCCAAGAGTTTGCAGGCATGGGACAGCAGATCCTTAGAAGCTAATACTCTAAACTCAGTGTGAGTGGACATCTCTACAGGCAACACTTGTTTAAAGTCAATGCCACAGCAATGAAGCTTTAGAGCCCATAATCTCCATCTGTAGGGAGAATGTGAGTCCTGGACGCCTCCTTGAGTACCCTCCAGGAAGCCCCTGTAGGAAGATAACTATGGGACGAGTCTACTAGGAAGCAGAATAGGAAATATCCATATCCAGGTGATTAGGGAGCGAACTAGTCACTGTCAAGGGCAAGGGAGAAGATGTACACAAAGCCAACGATGAACGTCTTACCTGCAAAACTCTTTTGGTCAGGCCCGTTTTCTGAGCAAGCTGCTTGAGGTCCTTGGCATCTGGGTTGTGGTTGATGGCAAAGTAGGATTTCATGGTCCGGAGCTGGTGGTGCTTGAAGGAAGTTCGCATGCGTTTAGTCTTCTGTGAAGGTGGATAAGGCTGCTGGTCCCGGTCCAAGTGGTCTGCCTCATTCTCATTACAACCTGTTGCAGCAACAGTGAACAACAACAACAAAAAAAAAAATGCTCAGTGGAAACTTCTCCATTGGCTTAAACAATGTAGGGTGTTTGCTATGTCGTCATCATAAAGCAAAAGGCTGTCAACCAGTGGTGAGTGATAGCTAGGCAAGAAGACAGTGACTACAATCAGCTACGCTATTTGGATACAGCTGGTTCACATGATAGAAAATGTAAGATAAAACCTTTTCTCTCTGCTTGATGCTCCAGGAAATGTAGGGAATAAGAGCAACCTCAAAAGAGGAAGGAGGAGGAGGAGGAGGA